GGCTGTGGCGTTGTGCCTTGCGGAGATCCTCCCGTAGGACCTGGTTTTCGGTGCGCAAGTTTTCCTTTTCGCGCTCCCAGGCTTTCTTGTCGATCTTGAGAACCTCAATGTTGTTCTCCAGGGCAGCGTAGCGAGCTTTAGTTTCGCTCTTGAGCCGGTTCATATCGTCCAGCAGCTGATTGTACTTCAGTTCAAGGTCGAAGTAGTCCTGGGCGGAAGGGCTTGAGCTGATCACGGAGATGCTAGAGTCGCTCGATTGGTGACGGTGGCCCTTTGTGGTCTGAAAGGTGACGCGAGCCTCTTTTTTGTTGGCGGTAGACATGGTTGGTGGTTATTGGGCGGCGCTGGGCGGCCGGGGGATTGTCGATCAACGGTGGGGTTTGTGAGTTGACGGTGTGAACCAATGTCCAAGGCAAGGAGCCTTTTCGCCGTAGACAGGCGCGACGAAAGTGAGAGCGATATATTCGTTGTGAGCGATGCGATTGCGATGTATGTATTTGGAAAGAGTAGAATTGAAATTTTTTGAAATTCGATGTGGGTGGTGTGGTGGTAGGCGCGGGTTAATACTTGTCGTATGTGTGTGCCTTGTCGAGATGAGTCAAGTCGGGTATATAAGGGGTTGAATGCTGCCCAAGATGGGACCGGGTGTTATTTTGGTCTGGGATAGAGAAAATAATAGCCGCACCCTGAAATGAGCAGGTCAGGTAATAACTGAGGGATGAATAGGGAGGGGGGAGAAAAAGGCAGAAGCGGCGTCTTTTGACATTTTATTTATCCAGATTTGCAAAAGCAGGTATTGCAGCCTTGACGGAGAGGAAAAGTCGCAGCCGGAGGCGGAGGGAGAATGACAGATGGGATTTGGTGTGGGTGACTGGCAGTGGATTGCATTGCTGCCTCCGGAGCTAAGAGAGGCAGACAGCAAAGTTGCGATGCAAAGGGAGAACGAACGAATACCTGACCCCTGCAACCACAACCACAACCGCAACCGCAACCGGGTACGTAGCCACACTGAGATACCTACCTTACCTACTCAATACATGCCGTACATTGACATGTCCATGCCATAGGCATAGGGTACGGGAACGGGTACATTGGTAGTGAGGTAGGGTAGGCATGGCATGTACTGCGTAGGGTACGGAGGAGGGAACTCTTGGACGCTCCGAGGCACAAGGAGATTAGCAACATTCCAAAAGTATTCCTTCGGTAGTGGCCATGTAGGGCTGGAGCTGCTTAGCCCAGTTTGGTTGCCTCTTGGCTGCAGACTTTTGCGACTGCTGCGCTTGCGCAGTGTGTGAGTGAGTGCGTGTGTCCGAGGTGAGGTGAGGTGAGTAGGAAGAGTCATCGCGGGTCCCCAAATCCCCTCACCTCACAGGCTCACTCGCACACCTCAAGCCTTCCATCCTTCTCCTACTCCGTACCCGCAGTAGTTCGCTAGGCAGGACGGACGGCGGAATCGCGGGTTCACCCTTCGAGCAGGGATGTCATGACGGGAGGGACTGGGACTGGGCTGTGGTGCCGTACAGGGGGATACAAGGGGGGACACTGACAGGGGTATAGGGTCAAGAAGAGCGTGTGGATGGGAACGGGGACGGGAGAAAAAGGGGAGCGGGACTCGGGAAGAGACTCGACGGTGACAGTGACAGTGACAATCCAGTGGTGACAGTCAGAGAGAGGTGTGAGTGAGTCCGTCCGGTACCTAGCCTAGGTGAAGCCAGAAAGCAAAGTGGAAAAAGAGGTTGACCAGGAATCAACTCCCATTTCTGCTGACTGTTCCCAAGATGGTCCCCTTGAGCCAACCACAGGCCACCTCAGTCCCCAGCCCAGACAGAGTCTGACAGACCGAAGAAAAAAAAAAGGGGGGGGGGGGGCATTGCTCGAGTTCAGTTGACCAAATTTCTCGGTGGCAGCCGTTGCTCTCATTGGCGTACTTTTGGCAGATGGGCGGTGCAGGTGCCAGCAGGGCCAGCAAGCCAACAAGGCAGAAATGCACTTTTCCCCCGTTGCCTCGTTTTGCTGGATTTTCTTGTGGGACGCCTTATTTTCCCGTGTGTCTGTCGCTTTTGTGTGTGCCAATGTGTCTCCGGAATGGTTCGCAAATGCGGCCTGCCACGCCTGCGTACCCGGGAGACTGGTTCGCCCAAACCCACGTCTCACTCAGTCTCTCTCTCTCTCCCTTTCCCGAGGCAGGCTGCGTTGCCGCTGCGCTGTCCATACAGCGTTTGGCCTCCCGCATCTTTGCTTTTGCAGCACCAGAGTCCAGTGGGTACAAGGGCAGAGGGCGAAGCTCTCGTTTGCGTGCGTCGCTAGTCGAATCCGGTCGCAGCACCGTAAGGTGAGGTGAGGTCAGGACGCAGCTCGCAGCTCGCAGCGCGCAGCACGCAGTCCAGAGTCCTCACGACTGAGGCCTCAAGTGAGGGGCCTGCCGCAGACGGAGCCCCTCCGCCGCCAGAGAACATCGCCGTTGCGCACAACAAAACACAGGGACGTCAACGGGTCAACGGTCGACGGGTTTCCTCTTGGCGCTGTGCGGTCCTTTCCTGCGGGCCCTTTCTGCGTCTGCATCTGCGTTTGCGTTCTGCGTCCATGTATGTCTGCGCCCCCGAACCTGTTTCTTCGCTCCCTCGTCCGATCCCCAGGATAATGATGTGCGTATCTCGTTTTCATTCCTACCCTCGCGGCCAATAGCTTCGCCATGATCGTGGGAGAAAAGTGATCGTCGTGTGTAGGCTACTGTGAGGCCATCGCGAAAGACCCCACCCCACCTCGCAGACGGAGGGAAGGTCATGGGGGAAGGAGGGACTCGAACGCAGAAGTCGAAACTCGCGTCGTGAGTCACCCCGCATCAGGACGCGACTCATTCGTAACCTTGTTGATGATTGTTTGGTGACTGAGGCCAACGAATTCCTTTCATGGACTCGAAGTAGGAAATGGCCAGCAATTGCGTGCTGCTTTTTCGCACATTTTTCTTCCGATGATCGATCTTGATCATGAGAGGGCACCAATAGACGACCTGACCATGAATCGATCAAATCCGATACGATGACCCGTTCGCTGATGGACAGGAACGTCGCGAGCCGTACCTCCTTGCCATACGGTGGTGATCAGGCTGTAGGCTGTAGGTTGTGGTGCAGGTGGTGTTGGCTAAGTGACGAGATGATGAAGTGAGGTCCAGTGGGGAAAGCTGCTGCGGTTTGTGGAAGTCCAAGTAACTAGGTACTGCGTAAAGCACAGACTAACGGAACACCGCCCCACGGGCTAACCAACGGAAGGTAGCCCACAGGGCAAGCAGGGCAGGCAGTCCCCTGCCAAATACAATCTTGACAGCCCAGCATCGGACGACGACCAATGAAGCTTAACTGTTCTTGCTGCCCTCCAAAAAGAGTGGTAATGTAATTGCTGACAACCTCAGTCCCTCAGGGCAATGTACCTTGGCCACCTCTCTGTCTATGATAGGTACGTGACTTAAGGTAAGGTACTCCGCGATCAGGACTCCCACTGGTACGTATACTATACTACCTTACCTTAGACTCCAGGCGCCAGCCGCCTAGAACCCGGCCGCCATCCTGTCTTGGCAGAAGGTGGAAGAAGCCGGACGCATATCATGCCTAGGCCTGTCCGTATCCGTAGGCAGAAATCACCAACCTTAGTCTCGGTCTCCAGTTATAGGGCTGCGAGACACGATATTGCTAAGCCCAAGGGAGGTAGGCCAGATCACGATACAACCCCCCCACACCCCTCAAAAGCGTACATCAGGTTTGAGTCAAAGACTCGAAGGATGAAGAATGCATATTCCAAAGGGCATGTGGCGTACTTTTTACACTTTCCCATGAACTGAATCTACTAGCTTCGACGGGATAGGCAGTTACCCCTTATCCACGATCTCGAGATGTTCCTAGATGGCGATATCGTTCCCTTGGCGGCAAGGCAACTCTTGGCCTTTATTTTGTCTTTCCGAGGCAGGGCTAGATCGGGATGAAGCCCGTACAACCCGTACAGGAATACTGAACGCCAACTACATCACTGGAACGAGAGCTTTGTAAGCGCGCGCGCAAAGGTCACAGGAAAAGCCTTCCCGTCCAATTGAGCTTCCGCACCTCCCCATGGCAGCGGGCCCAGACAACGGGCCGCCAGCCTTGACTGAAGGGTGTCCCTGAGTTCGCCGACTACGTATCTCTAGCGTAGGATTCCTTCCTTCCGTTCATGCTGGATAGTCACCTGCTTGTGCCTCGTACCTCGCTCACGCTCAGGCGCGGGATATCCAGGGCGCATCCGTGCTCTTTGAACAAAAGAGAAGAGAAAGCATTGCGTGTTCTGCCAAGGCATGTTGGTCCTCTTTTGAGTCTCTCCAAGTGCCAACAAGACATTCTCACTACTCGGGTTGGACCCGGTCGAATCCACTTCCCCCCACACCGCGTGTGACTCGGCTTTCGGGGAGATATCGGGCATGCATAGGTACGACGCGTTGGTTTGTTCTGCAGCAAGCAAGTTTCAAATCATCTCTGAGAAGTACGATTTGACAGCTTGGTTGAAATATGGATCGATCGTATTTGGGTTTACGAATCTCGCCTGAAAGGATGTATGCTTGGTACTTTTATGGCTTTGCCTCGGCAGACTGGGAACTCTGCGGCATTCTTGCCGCTCTCACCAAGGTGCACTTTCCCACTTGGAGTGATTATCAGCATCGAGATGTTGACATGGAAATGATGAGCGACATCCGCGTCATCGTGTTCTTCGATGTTGAAGGCATACCCAGTCTGGTGTGATTTTCTCACCCCGGAAGACAGTGAACATTTATTTAGGCCAATGAAGTAGACCTGATAGCTCACGAAAAGCCAGATAAAAACAATATGAGAGTTTACTCATACAGGAACAGTGTCATCCTCCTTCATGTCTGTATGCCAAGGTACCTACCTTATCGAAACTCGTACGGAAGCGTCCAGTGTCTATTCTCATCCAAAAAGAGATTAGAAATCATTGGTGGACACAGGAAGGGAACCATCATGGGGAACATTGAGAATCGCCAAGTGCCGACGACGTTCTCCCAGCACTTTGTAGATGTTGGAATTTCCAATCCGCTTTGGAACTCCATGGAAGTGGCAGGGAAGACGGAAGAAAGGAAAGGTGTAAGTTGATTTGTCGACGGAAGAAGAGTGGGGCACGGTGGCCTGGGGAACCCTTGACGGTACGTACTCGAGGTGTCCACCCAAAACGTTCCCCATCTGCCAGCGACTGAACGGTGGTGAAGACGGCTGCCTGTTTTGCCTTGGTCACGCTTCCAGCTTCATCCGTCTTCGGACGTAGAAATTATCGTCCGTCAGCTTCAAGGTATATGCCACCTCGGTTCTCAGCGGCTGGCGATACTGCCTGTGTCGAATGTCATCGAATGAGAGATCGTGTCTAGCAATAGCATCCCCCTCGGTTGTCCGTCGTTGACATGGGAGGTAAGCGGGAGGGAGCCCAGCTGAACGTCTGCTTGTCGATACCTCCCAGGAACAAAGACAATACAAACCTAGAGGAACGTGTGGAAGAGTTTGATTTCCTCAGCCGCAGAAGCATGTTTTGTGTGCTTATCTCACTCGACCTCTCCCATCCCTGTCGTTTCTGTGCCTCGCGGATAACCTCCCTCTTCTGGCCCTTTGCGCGCTTGCTGAAGCGAGAGACGAGCATGAGCAGGTCATTTGTTGGACTCCACGGCTCCGATTCACGGCCGCAGCTGCGGCTGAAGCCCCAAGGATCCCGCTCACCTCGGTGTTAGCACTCTAGCGACAAGGTGAGAGGGCACAAGGCATTCACGACCGCCCCGACCTTGGGCACGTAAGTTGAGCAACTGGGATACGCAACCCCGAACACACTCCATCAAGATAAGGTGTTAGTTATCTTCCGTTATCTTGCTACTCTTCCTTCCCTTGTAAACGGAATTACCGAGCCGGAGAAACAGTCTGTTGATTGAAAGAAAGAAAAAGGTGGCTCAGGTGAGGCCAACGACATGGGTTCCGATCCTGCGGCCGTGGCCCGTTACAGACGCGCATACCTACCTGCTTGCGCGCGACACTTTTCTTGCGCAATCGCGCGTTCGCGCGCTGTCCACAGCTTGTGTAACGCCAGTCTCTCCCACTCGGTGCCAAGACGATGGCTGCAGCCTTATGCTGCACACCATTACGTCTGATTTGACGTGGCCATGGGGGTAAAACGGAATCGGCACAGCGACGGAGTACACGAATGAAGAACCCTTGCATTTTTGACAGAACTATTCGTATCCCCAAAATGGAATCCCGGGCTGCTCGGTTCGCTTTACCTATCCATGTACACCGAACTGCGGTGGAAAGTGCGAGTACCAAATTTGGAGGTGCAGAGTTTTGGAGAAAGGACGAAAGGACGGGATGGCGTCATGAGGCCTGGCCCGACCAATGTCTGAGTTCGGAGGCAGCTGACTTGGTGACCCGGTGCCGACGCTTCGTCTCACCCCTCCGCTGACAGCCACCACCGTACAATGAGATTGTTTGTGTGTGAGAGACTCTTGGGATTTGCTTCATTTTTTCCGAAATTTTGGTGGTTTCTATTAAAGCTTGAATGTGAACATAATGTTGAAACTGATACCAGTTGGATTAAGGCGAACTCCTTGATCCCATGCGCCGATACAGAGAAAGACCAACTCCAATTAGAATCTCAAAGATTCTCAACCAAGAAATCACCAGTTCAAAACTAGGTAAGAGCGGTATATTTGAATGCATGCGCATGTTGGGTTACGTCAATGTCTTCACCGAAGAGTGCTCTATTACCTACTTTCTCCACGCCAATTTGGCGCATTCAAGTGCAAGCGATAGGAGGGCCTTTGAAAAGCAGTTTATCGGTATTTCCAGTTGAACACATGATCGAAGGCCTGGAGGGCAATTGAGTGATACAGCTAGTACGAGTAATGACTACCGACATGAAGGGCAACGTAGTATGAGACGACAATCTCTATATCAGTCCATCACTTCGCCCTCAAACAATAACCTTGATAAAACATTCCAAAGCCCAAAGTCATATAAGATTGCCAGAGAAGTTCATTGTTGACGAATGAAATATGTCGTAAACGAAGGTCGGGGCTGCGATGCTCCAAAAAGAAATGTCGTGCCCAATGATCGTCACGCAGTGCCTTGCATGACGGAGTATCCAATGAAGCATCGTCAGCAAAAGTCTATCTCAAATCGAAGCCAATGAAAATGATGCCCTGCAATTTCTGACGAGAGCCTATGCCGATGCTAATGTCAGTTCTCATATCCAAGGCATGATATCTGGAAAAGAAAGGGGGAGAGAAACTCACGTTGAGGCTTGCCCATGCAATATCATCCAGCCAAACGGGTTCCCTCCTGCCAAAAAAGAGACTCTCTCAAGCAGCTGTCGAAGACACTTATCCTCCACCGCGCCGAAAGTCCGCATCTCGTAGAGAGATATAAGAGAGGAAAACAAAGAGAAAAACGTATATCCGTCATATCCATCCATAGCCCCTCTCATTCATACCGTATAAACCCATGCCTCCTCAAAATCCTCTCATACTCCCTAATCCTCTCATCCCGTCCCGCAACAACACACCGCTGCTCGTGCAACTCCCTCCTCAGCCGCCGATTCTGCTCCTCCACGCCATCATATTTCCCCTCCCACGCACGCACAATCCTCCTCAACTCCTCAATCCTCTCCGCCACCCCGTGGCCCAACCCATGTCCAAAGTGATGGTGATGCCCATGCCTCAACCGCGCCGCCAGTTCTCTCTCGACCTTTTGCAGCTTATGCCTCAGCCTCTCCACCTCCTGCAGATATCTCCCCGCGTTCCCGCCCGAGCTGTCGATGGTCCGCCGCAAACTGGCGTTGTCCTCGCGTAGGAGCTGGTTCTCCGCCTGCGCGGAAATCAGCAGGGCCGAGAGGCGGCGGCCCTCAATGTCCGAGGCTCGGAGGTCGCATTTTAGGGTGTAGTTTTCGCGGGCGAGGGCGTCGTTTGCTTCGCGGAGCTTGCGCTCGCGGTCTAGGAGGTCGTTGTATTCGGGCGCGGCGATGTGTGCGCAGTCGTCGCGGCAGCAGTGGTGGACTGGTGGTGGAGGCGGAGGTGCTGGGGTCGGAGTCGGACAGGGGGCCGGAGCCGGAGCTGGGTCTTCATGGTGGTGATGATGGCGGTGATGATGGTGGGAGCGGGAGCGTTTGAGGGAGACGAATTGGTATTTGCCGTCTGGGGAGGTTTCGAGGTACCACCGGCGGGTGGCCATGCGGTCTGGAGGGGGTTGTGGTCGTGGACTAGGTGGTATGTGATTTGTTTCTCGAGATGCTTGGCGAGAGGAGAGAGACTGGAGGTAGTAGTGGTCGTCGTCCGTATAAGTCGAAAAAGGTTTGCTGTGAGGCTGTCTAAGTTTGAAGTTGAACTGAGAGGTTTCGCAAGAACAGTATTCAGAGTTTTCGGTTCAGGATATTGGACGAAGACGAGAGAGGGCCGGGAACCGACAGGAGTTCAACAAGGGGCGGATCGAGGCCTTGATATGGAGATCTGAGGGATAAAGACAGCAGACCACGAGAGCCCCGGGGCTGATATGCAGGTGATCAGCGCAGAAGACTACCCCGTCTCGCAATACCAACAAGGGCCCATAAGACGGGGGCTGCATGGCGGAGCGGGAGCGGGTAGGGCTTCGTCTTGGATTTTCTCTAGGTTTCCTAATCTGTTCTACCTTGTTTGATAGGATGCCTCCCTAATCCTGAGGGGGTGTTTACTGTGTAAGTGTGCCCTGGCCTAAGGAGGAACTTGGGATCCCAGAGCTCTGGGTACGTTCGTCACTAGACTGGAATCTCGCCGTCTTTCGTACATTTCACGAGGGAAAAGTAGGCGCAGGAACGGCTGCGAGTCATCGGAGGATGAGGCAACAGGGCACGAGGCTCAAGCGCGTGGGCGGGAGAAGGGATGGGCGCCGACTCGGTGGCTGACGCGCTGCCGTTGGAGGTTGCGGACGGATGAGGGAACTGGTACGAACTGGACCCTGAAGGGTAGTAAACAATACAGATAGACTATATTCGTGCCTTAGCTATAGATGGACACCTATTTTTCCTTTCTTCCTCTTGGCTGCTCATACTAAGGCAAGGTACCCTGCAAGGCAGATGGTGGGTGGAGCCGGGGGAAAGAGGTCGGGTGTGGTGTACAAAGTTGAGGCGCCCTCGACATTGAGGAGGATTTAGGTTGTCGGGTGCCCGTTTGGCTGACCTAGTTGTGAGTCCGAAGGCGAGGTCATGTAGACGGCCTCACAAGTTGTGCGCGGTGAGACTTGGGTGGTCGTTTGTGGTGAGCGCATGAGTGGCATGTCTCACGAGCCAGAAGGGGGGTGGAGGGGTCATTCGGGGCCAGCTCCGGGGGGGACTGAGCTATGAACCTGGCGGCGGTTCATCCCGGGAGGTTTGCTTGCGGGCTTCGCGGGATTAGCTGTTTATTCAGAGGTCAGGTTTGGTCTAGGCTGCTTGTAGGTTGCATGAAACGGAAAAAAGGGCATAGAATGAGGAGAGTACAAGGGCGCGGTTGATTCTTTGTGGTCTAGATGTTGGTCCGTGAAGATGTCGAAGTTGGAGGTGTGACAGTGGACAGTTGGGGTGGGAATTGGAGATCTCAAGGGTACCTTACCTTAGGTACGTACTGCGTAGGTACGGTTTGGCACGTGGAGCAGGCGCATTGCGGTAAGCAAGCGCCGCCATCGGAGAATACAGTGCCTAAAAGCGCCTTTGTACCACCATAATCCAGTCACAACACCGTACAACCCTTGCTGTTCACCGCGGCTGCGCTTGGGCTGCCTCTCCACATCCCGGTACGTATCTATTCTTCATGACCACCACCACGAACAACATTCTTTGGCAATGGCCCTTTTGTCTTACACGGCCGAGTACACCGCCTCCACGAGGCTGCCATATTGAAACTCGCAAGTTCGGTCAGGCACACTCATACTAGGATTGTACACTTTAACCTTGGTTGGCTGGCTACTTGGATGACTTGCCCGTTTTCCAGTCATGTCATGTCTCAGAGGACTGGCAAGGGTGCTATTCCTATAAACCTTGGATGAAGTCGTTAGGTCATCTGCTACACTTCATCAAGCGAGGCAACCAGACAACCGTATCCTATTCTGTCGTCACGCTTTCGGAATATCCTACTTCTTCGCGCTGATGCCCTCTGTAGTGAGTCTTGTTGCCTGGTGCTGAGAATTCGCTATTCTGTAGCCTTGTTGGCGGTGGCGAATACACCATGACAAGGTCTGATATTCGGGGGCCATGAACGTCTGGTATCATCTTTCCGAGCCTCCCAAATGTGATGACACCCAAGCTGGCTCCATGAGGCGGAGCGAACATGTGGCCATTGCTCGCTTCCCAGGCATTTCCGGCAAGGAAATCAGACTTGACGATGCTGTCAAACCCTTTCTTACCTTTCTCGACCACTCTAGACATGACATTCTAGCGAACTAAGAAAGGATATGTGTCTTACTTTGCGTGGAGATGCCTTGAGCAGAGAAGTGATTTATTCCGGTTAGGCCGCTGGTGGCCTCTTCCTTCCTCGTAATACGCGAAACAAAGAGGACGTCAATACTTCTCGGCCACGGGAAAAGCGATAACCAACTTTCTAAGCACCGTAAGTTGGCTATTTCACTGTGTCGATGGAATGAGAATGGAGAGAGCGCCTGTGAGCAGATCCCAGAGACTCGCCGTATCCCGACTACACGACGCAGACACTACCTCTGTATACCAAATATGCCATCACTTTCCACAACCAGAAGCTCTCATCCCGTCAACCCCTAAACTTTCTGTCTTTTTGGGAATGCATGAAGCCACGATATGCAAATATTCACTTCACTTGATAAAAAAACAATCTTCCATCACAAGGCCGACGCATGAAAACCTTTCTCCAACATTTCACATCACACCACGTTACAGCATCCGCAACCGCCAAATTCCCCAACTTAATCTTATTCAAGAGCTAGGTAGATGAATAATCCATACATGTAAGTTTCACCGTTCAAGCGAGCGTCGAGAAAAGAACAGTAATCAGGTTTCATCCGCGGGGAAACCCACAGGAATCTTTAGAACCCCCTTCTTCGGCCAAGGCCATCCAAGAAGCTGTCCTACTTCTTGCCAGCCTGCTGTCCTCCCTGACCAGCACCGGCGCCAGCACCGCCCTGTCCCTGTCCACCGACCCCGGCATTGGCGTTTCTGTCGCCCGCGCCCTGGGCTCTGGCAGCGAAACCGCCCGAGGACATGTCTTTGCCGCCCTTGTCCTAGATTGAAAATCGTTGAATGTTAGTATCAGCAGACCATAGTCTTCACCGAGTCTCGTCCAGCTGGCATCAAGACCCTGATTATCTCAGGCAGTGAGGTAGAGACCACGGGAGGAGGGGGGAAGTGACGGACCTGGCCGGACTGGATGCGGGAGGCATCGTCTTTGGTCATCTGGTTAGGCATGATGACGGATCTTTGGGTTGTTTGAATGTTGAAAGGTTGATCGAGTTGATGGAATGGTTGAGGAGAGCGTGAAGACGAAGTGTGTGATGTCTGGATGATCTATCGAAAAGAAGGACCCAACTACCGAGACGACAGACGCAGCTTCTTATAGACTTTTCCGTCTTCCTCTTCTCATCACATGAAATGCAACAAATACCTCAAGCACGTAAAGCAAACTTCATCACCATCGCGCCGCCACTATCCCGTCGTCACCATCATCATCGCCATCTCTTTCACCGCTTCATCTCAAACTCACAAACGCAACTAAAAAGAAACGAAATAAACGTCGTCCACCACTCCTCTTCCAAGCATGGCACTCAAATCAACCAGCTGATCCCGGTGACCTACCTCTCCCCCCGCTCCGACGAGACATCGCTGGAAGGCCTCCGGCGCCTCAACGAAACGCCACGCCCGTTCCGCAAATCCGGTTGGCTACAACCTGAAAATTTAAGCACTCCCAAACGCATTACACATCACACAAACAAAGCGCTGAGAATGACGCGGAGGGCGGGAGGCGGGAAGCAGCGGTCGATCAGCGGGGTGTGGCCCTCACGGGAAAACGGGTTGACATGTGCCGTTGCTTTGATGGTTTGGACGACAACTACTGCAATTATGGCCATCCAAACTTAGTGCCTGAATGTACCTTGCCCCAGCTTCCATCTCATATCCCCAGCGCGGGGTATGTTATCCGGCAAAGAGGTCATCCATCACTGAGTAAAGATCAAGTATCGTGTCATTCAATGGACGCTCGCCACTCTACAAAAGAGTGGTATAGGAGCAGCAGTACCTTGGTTTGCTTTTGTATTGTTCAACACATTCAGGGGGTGGAATAGCAATGACTTTCAAGCCAAGACAAACACCCATGCAATGCCTAGTAAGTGCGCCCTCTCTCCCTCTATCACTCTTCCGCCGAACCCTTTTGCCATCCGACGACATCATCGCACGCATGCCAGTCCCTAAAGCCTCCTCTTCCTCTATGGGCATGACGAAGGAAATCAAGACACCAAGGCCGTACCGAGGAGGCCTCTAATCGCAAACCACAGGTAAACCATTCCGGAAAGAAAAAAGCGCCCTCTCTTGTTTGGTGCTCTGGATTCCCTTCTCAACAAGACTTCTCGTCTTGTGGAAAGACGAAAGGTCCCGCATGGAAGCCAGGCCAACAACCTTTGCATGCTTCTAATGTTGTTTTTTATATGCTCCCACACTCTCATGGTATTCCAAAACCTTCCCTTCAGCTTCAGCTTCAGCTCTCGGCAGCCTTGAGCTCCTCGTCGACCTGCGCCCTGACAACCTCCCGCACCTTTTGCCAATCGTTGACAATCTCCGTCACCCTCTTCTCCTTGTCCTCCAAGCCGACGAATTCTGACGGCAGCACCTTGGCCTTGAAGTCGAAGCCCTCCTCGTCCTTGAGAGCCAGGTCGACGGCGCCGGCAAACTTGGCCGGGTGGGCCGTGGAGAGCGAAATGTGCGGCACCTCTGCGCCGGCGCGGCTGACGGAACGCTCCGAGGCGGACACGCCAATGGCGGAGTGGGGGTCGAGGACGTAGCCAATCTTGTTATAGTAGCTCTTGATGGTCTCGACGGTCTGGGGGTCGCTGACGCGCTCGCTCTCAAAGTCGCGGCGGGCCGAGTTGAGCACGTCCTGGTAGACGGGGCCGAAGCCGCCCTTTGTCTTGAGGTCCTTGAGCCACGAGGACACCTCCTGGCCGGCCTGCCTCTTGTTCCACTCGTCGTCCATTCCCGCGCTAGAGGCGAACTCGTAGGCCAGGAACCACAGCAGGCGCTCAAAGTTACTTGAGACGAGAATGTCCATGGCGGGGCTGAGCGTCTCCTTGACGCCGTCCTCGTGCGCCTTGACGCCGTCTTGGGCCAGGCCACCGGCGGCTTCCGCAGGCGGGGCGGGCTGCTTCTCGTACTTTCCGGTGGTCCAGAATCTGTGCAAAATGTCGTTCTCGTTGGTCGCGATGACGAGCTTGTCGACGGGCAGACCCATGCGGTAGGCAAAGTAGCCGGCGAGGATGTCGCCAAAGTTACCCGTGGGCACGACGAAGCGGACCTTGTCGCCGAGGTTGAAGGTCTCGGAAGACTTGACGAGGGAGAAGTAGGAGTGGAAGTAGTAGACGATCTGGGCCAGGATACGCGCCCAGTTGATGGAGTTGACGGCACCGAGGTTGTGGGTCGAGTTGATGTCGGGGTCGGCGAAGAGAGCCTTGACAATGTCCTAGGTGACTCGGGGTTAGGGAGTGCCGTTCAGCAAGGGGTTATGTAGGCGCGCGAGAAAAGACTTACTTGGCAATCGTCGAAGGTGCCAGTGACAGCCAGGTTGTGGACGTTCTCGTCCAGGACGGTAGTCATCTGGGCCTCCTGGATGGGGCTCACGCGACCCTTGGGGTGGAGGATGAAGACGGAGACATCCTTCTTGCCTCGCAGACCGTAGATGGCGGCAGAACCGGTGTCACCGCTTGTGGCACCGACAACAGTCAGATGATGTCTGTCTGCGCAACGTGTTAGCTAGTCCCCACATGTGCCAATTGCCATTGCATGGTATCTTTTGAGGCCGTGGCGGCCCGCAAGGTTCCGGAGACGAAGAGGCGCATAGCATACCCTTTCCAGTCTTGCCCTCGTTCTTGCGCACCAAGAAGTACTCAAACAGGTTGCCGAGGAACTGCAGAGCAACGTCCTTGAAGGCAAAGGTGGGGCCGTGGAACAGCTCGAGGAGGTAGAGGTTGTCGTTGAGGTGGCGGAGGGGGGTGGTCTCGGGGGCTCTAAAGGTGGAATAGCTTCGGTCGATGATGCCCTTGAGGTCGGCGGAGGGGATCTCGGAGGGAGAGATGTACAGAGACAGGATCTTGTGGGCGAGGTCGGGGAAGGCCAGGTCCTTCCAGGATTGCCAGTCATTGACCTGGGGGATGTGCTCAGGGATGAACAGGCCGCCATCGCTGGCGAGGCCCTTGAGAACGACCTCCTCGAAGGAGAACTGGAATTGTATGCGGTCAGCAGCTGCGTGGCCTCGAGCATCATATCTAACGGTGCGCGCGCGCGCCGAGATGAAGCTGGCTTTTGGAGGAAGGAGAGGTATGCGCAGGCGATGGAGGGGAGAAAGGGGCAATATCATACGCCGCTGTCCTCTCCGCGGGTGCTGAGATACCGCTGGGAGGTAGTGTGGGTGGTGTTGGCGGCGGCCTCGCCTTTGGTACCGTTGGTGGCCATGGTGATAGCTGCGTCTGCGTGTGCGTCTGCGATGTGCGGTATGCGGTGAAGGAGGGTGAGTTGAGGTGGAATGTGCAGAATGAAAGATGGGGGGCGGGGGAGAAGCCCAATGGCAGCACAGAAAAGAGGGGAAGAGAGGGAAGAAGACGGCAAGAGAAGCTCGTCTCTTGTCTGTCGAAAATGCACGATCTTTTCGGTTTAGAGGAAGAGAGAGAAAAGAGGATGGCGTTGAGATCTTGGAAGCATTCGAACGAAAAGGGCAAGAGGGAAAAAAAAAAAAGAGAGAGAGTGCGAGTCACACACACCAGCGGCACTGCGGTAGCAACGACCTGGACGACAAGCGGCCGAAAGTCGGTCTCGACGAGTCGGTCACCCCTCAAAGGTGGCCCGGTGTTGTGGGCGGTCCCTTTCCTCCTCCGAGTTCACTGGGATTGTGTGACAGCTTCCGCCCCTGCCCCTCCTCTCTCTCTCTCTCTCTCTCTCAGTGACTGAGTTCAATGTGAAAAATTTGCCCCGCACCAAAAATGAAGAGTGCCAAAGAGGCGCGGGGTTGCCCATGTCCACCTTACACCTTGGACGGTGTACTATGGTACGTAGTACATACTTAAGGTAGGTACTTAGCAAACTGACATAATTCAACGATGACGGGACGCCAAGGGGCCGGGATTGGTGGGTTGTGGAATGCTCAAATCGCGCAGTCTCATTGGCCAATGACTGCCCTGGCGTTTCCTTCCAGATGGCGCCTTCATCTGTTCGTCGACAGGGGACCGACCGCTGACCGTGCGTGCTCCTGAACGTCCAACATCCAACATCCACCCTGCTCATCACCATCATCTGCTCTCAGCTCGTCTCATCCTTGAAAGAGGCATGATAGCATTCGCTTTCGAGCAGTGGCGCGTCGGCGCTGCAGAATCCATTCAGCCGTGCCGCCTCAGACATGCAAAAGCGTATACCCGCCGACTGTCCACCAGAATCCCTAGTGACTACCCCTCCATCACCCCTCTTTCCCAATGGGGCTCGTGGCATGTCAAAAGTCAATAGAACCATCGCGCTGCTGCACGGCGGCTGATGGTGCCATTTGCTTCCCATTCCTTCAGTATGACTCGGCTGGATTCCAAGCCACATGTGTTGCCAACTTGAATTTGCGAAAAAGAAATCTCAAAAACATCTGGAGAGGCCTTTGGAACCGCCCAAGCGCATTATCATTGTTTCGTAATGTGATACCGCAAGACATCCTGTCTCACTCGATGGTACTCGACTGCGAATGTGGTCTATGGAGGCGTGCCGCATCACCCGATAAAATAGCCAATCGGCCTAATTGACCTCGACGAATACCCCCGAAACATGAAGCATAAGGTACTGCGTGTCATCCGGATACCACCCGAATATTCCTTATATCGCTTGCCCTCTAACGCCTATTGCCCATGTCATTGGGTATCTTGAGAGAAAATGAGGTAAAAGTATCACAGACCATGGCGCCGTCCATCCCTTGAAAACCGCTGTAAGGCTCAATCGATGCCCCTTCACTTTTTGAGCGACTTGAGCAACGGCGCAATCCTCGACCTCTTGCTCAGTCCCACCCGATAGATGGGCTTCGTCGCCGACAAAGACGTAGGCGTCGACAACCTCTGCTTTCCCTCTGCCTTACCCGCCGTCCCAGACTTGTCGCCATCCGCCTGCGCAGGAGTCTCTTTCGTCGCCGCTCCTTTCCCCTCTGCTGCCGCGGTCTTTTGCGGTCCCAGTCCGTCGGAACCAGACTTGCTGAGCGCCGCATTAGGCGTCACTGGCTGCAGCACCCGATCGCTGCCGCCCTGTTCTCGGGGCCCGCTACCCGCATCTGCTGTGCAACCTTCCTGCTGCTGCGCATCGACGTGCTCGCCGCGGCCCTTGGAGCGCTTTGCCGCCTTGCCTGATGGGGCGTCACCCGCATGCTCCACTTCAGGTGCATGCGGCTTCTCAGTCGCTTGCTGCACGCTTTCTGATGCGTTGTTGTCTGCCTTCTTTGGCCGCCCGCGCTTCTTCTTGGTGGTCGTCGGTGTGGCTGCCGTTGCGGCCTCTGTTCCTGCGGCAGCATCCTTCACGGTCTCGCTTGTATCGGTAATCTGTGGCATAGTCGAGGTCTCGGCCGGTGCTGGGCTCTCTGATATAGCCGTATCCGACTTTCTCGGCCGTCCTCTCTTTTTTGGTTTCGTCGTACTCGTTGAAGCGGGCTCTTTTAGGGAAGCGGGCTCCTCGAGGGGCAATTGCGCGGCTGGGCCCATATCAGCCACGGGAATCTCAATCTTCCCTGGCATCTCAGCCTCGTCCTGTCGGCTAGAGTCACTACCTCTGCGTCGACTGACACGAGGCTTGTACGATTCTCGATGGAAACCAATGTCGTCGGAATCCCAGCCTTCGTCTTCCCGGTGAGACTCTGTCGTCTGTGGCGGTTCGTCCCTCACGTTTCTTCTTTTCCGACGGACCGATGCTGCAGATATAATATCCGGGGATGATTGTATCTCTATTGTTGCCTCTGGATCGACTGATGCCCCGAAACCTTGCTGAGTCTGCTCTTGAACCGTGTCTAGTGTAACATGGCTTTCGGCATGCGCTGGAGGCAAGCCAATCACTCTCGTCTGGCTCGGCGTAGAGTATGCGATAGTCGTGGCCCCGCTGGACCTAGCCGCAGCTTGCATGGTCGAAAACGGCTGCGTAGGTGTAGGTCTTGGATCTTCCGGAGACGGGCCAACTGAGTGGTATTCATATTCCAACTTTTGGCTTGCGCTCAGTGTTTGAGACTCGATGTACATCGAAACAGGCTTCTGGCCAGAGACGAGGTCGCCAAACGACGGTACCGCGGCTGCGTGTGGGACCACCACCATGTCAATGTCGTCTTCCTCGGCCGGTAACGACGAGTCCGGGTTCCTAAGTCTGGCCCTCTTCCCGTTCTCCATCCTCGCGACGGCCGGGGTAGTATCAAATGGCTGCGTGGAGCCCTGCGAAGGCATATCGATAGCCACCGGAGACGTGAACTCCACGTTGTTCACTCGCTTTCTTTTCGTCCCGCTGGTTGAGGTTCTGCTCTTTGCGAGACTGGCGAGAGGCGCTCGGCCGTCCCCGACGGGGCTGCTGGGAACATCCCACATATCGTCGGGAGTTGCATGAGCAACAGTCATCTTGGGCGACGCTGTGACTTCCGTAAGGTCCACCACCTCTGGTTCCCGTTCCTCGGCGCTGTCCAACCCCGCAATGAGGTCGCTGGCTGAGGTGAGCGAGGAAGTACCGGTGTCGTTCCTCTCCAATTGCGGTCTGTCCGCTACTGGCATAGCTGGTATAGAGCTGGGCGCTGCACCGTTGGATAAGGAAGATTCGTCTGGTTTTCGCAACGTGTCGCTGGCCACTGCCGCACGCTGCTGCTCAGTGTAGATGGCCTGGAAGAACTTGGGGTCGGTAGAGTTGGTCGCGACACTAAAGGGGTCGGAGGAGCGGCCTTGGCTCGGTATCGCGGAAGTCGTAGTAGGTTTCGAGGGACTGTTTGGTGATTCGAAATCATCGTCGGAATCGTCCGAGTCCGCGATGATTCGGGCCGGAGCCATTGTCGCGGTGTGGCGAGAAGATCGCGACGTGGGGAGGGTCGAGGCACGCGCCTAGCTCGGGGGCGAATTATGAAAGGTACTGTTGTGTACATGGACAAAGTCCCCCTCAACATGCTAGAGTGCTATCGTTATGGCGGAATACTCTTTTCGGATAACGCGATATCACGTGATGCGCTATATACATATTATGCTGCTATATGATTTTCGTGAGTCGGGTGTCCGGTCCCACGAGTCTGGCCGTTCTACCTAGCCCGGATCACTTTAACACTTCGTTGAACCCTTCAATGAGGTTCTCAGCTAGAGGAAGATAAGACCAGCCAGCAGGATCTCCAGAATTTGACTTCCTTTTGTTCCCAATCAGGAGGCAAGTTACGGATTCGCTGACTAAACTACTCAATCTCTTCTATCCTAGGACGCTTCGTATTGACAGAAGGGAGTGATCGGTCTTGGTCGATGGTCAAGCCTGCCAGTCTTCCAATACTTGGTTCTCCCGTGTTGTATCCCGAAGCGACCATGGACGACAGTTGCCAATTCTCCAAACTCTCAATCACATCTCGAGCGTGCTGCTGAACTAGACCATCATTGTCTGTGACTGCAACGTATTTCAGAGTCCTCATAATGTCCTCCCGGCTCTGGTCGGTCAATCCGAAACCGAGCCTCCTACCTGATTGTTTGGCAGCATCAAGGGCCTTGACGAAGCCCAGAACAGCCAAGATGGCTGCACGCCGGATGATCCCTTTTTCGATTTCCCGCTCCAGCGCCAGCACATTGATGCAGAGGTCCACTGCGATGGACACGAGGTCAGGCCCAATGCCCGCAATATTGGTTTCGAGGCCGACGGAGAAGATCGAAAGAGCAGATGCTCGCATACGGACGTCTTCGCTGCCTCTCTTGCTCTCCCACCCCTCAACAATCTGAGTCAGTATCTCGTTCTTGGCCAGCTCTTCTTCGGTCAGATCATCACTGAGATCTGGAACATCCCCTCCCCACGCATCCTCCGCCTGCTTCTTCTTCATGTCCTGCAGGCGTTTCTCCCGGGACTGCTTTGCCTCCGTCTTTGGCCGATGACCTCGCCTTCCAGCAATCGACAGCAATGTTTCAGACACACGCCTCGCAACGTCACCGGCAAAAGTCTCGCCGAGGCGCTCAATCACTTGAACCAAGGCCTCTCCGAAGCGTAAGCGGACATCCGTTGACGAGATTTCCTTCGAGTCCAGGTAATGCTCAAGGATCTCCTGTGTAGTTGCTTTGGGGTGTTTGTTCGCCAGTTGGGTCAGAAGCTTCACAACCCGGAGATTGATAAAGTCTTCGCTGTCTTGAAGTAGAGACGAAAGGAGAACGAGGGTGGCTTGCACGTCCAAGACAGAACTATCAGAGGCCACTAGGCCCGATATCAAGTTGATTCCCTCGGAGCGGATCGGCGGAGGATTATCTGCTTGAGTAATGTACTCCAGCGCAAGCTTGTACGTTCGCCTGTCCTCAATTTGCTTATCGGTAGGCACAAAAGCGCCCTCTTCTGCGGGATCGATAGCCTCACGGTATCTTAGCAAGAGCGTCAGGTTCTTCGCTGTAGGAGAAACTTCAGGGCGTTCCGCTGCGCCAAGTTTAGCAAGGGACGTTTCAAGAGCTTGTAGGACTTCAGTCTTCAGGTTTGACTTTTTAAAGCTTGGGGCTGTGATGACTAAGTTGAACAAGCTTAAAGCAACCGCGACGATATCGTCAGACTGGTCCTGGAGGCCGCTGGGATCCAGGATCTGAGCCACCAGCTCAGTAACTTGCGTTACGCGGCTGATCAGCTTGTCTGGGATTTGTTCCAGCATCTTCTGCAAGATTGTAATCTCGAGAAGTTGCTTGATATCACCCTGATCCTGGCTGTCTTCCGCTTTGGTGAGAATTTCTGGCTTTTGAGTTGTGACCGTCGATTGGAACCATCGGCCAAGGAGGTCTAGAAAGAAGGTCGATGTTTCTTCGGGTGTGCAACTCGCCGTCAAGAGACGTATGAGAGCCTCGGAGCGTGTCTGGATCTCAGTCCAGTCTAGTTCTGGGGCTTGTGATCCCTGGCCCAGACGAATGGCACATATTTGAAGATCGCCGTCAGAATTCGATTGATATCGCCACTGTGGTGTTTTGGTATACTCTCCTTGATATAGCAGGTTTTCGACGACCTCATGTAACTTCGACACCGAAACACTTAGTTTCAGGAATGTGTGAAGCAATGATCTCGATGGCTTCGAATATCGGTCCTCGGTTCTTTTGTTGCCCTTGCTCTGACACGATATAGCCCATAGTTGTGCGAGAACCGGGTCAAGCATTCTTTTGGTCTGTGCTGGGTACGGTGTGGAGTTAATCATCGACGACATGCGGCGCAATGTGATGAAGAGATCGTCGGCAGTAACCAGGACGGCCTTTTCACTCAAATCAACAATCTCGGTTTCTTCGGTTTTGATGTGCAGCGCAACATTGTTGCTTTTGCGAGATGGATCCAAGTTGCGCAACAGAGGCTCAACAAAGACATTCCACCCAGGTGTTCCTGAAGCAGCGTCAGCATGGCTTCTAGCCTCTGGATGAAGGCAAGGCTACTACCTGGTGCGCCAAATTGTTTCCTACCCAGTACTCCAAACATGATAATCTGTGCCGCTGCTACACTAAGTTCTGCCCCTTCGTTTCCGTCCAGCAGCACAATCAACTGGGGCGCAACCTTTGAGAACCAATCTTCAGGTGGTACAGTTGCTGGTGGGGAGGTGAGAATACGAGTGACGACAGCCATGGCTTCCTGGGTGATATTGGCGCCTCTTTTCTGAGGAGTGGCTGCCTCGGATGCTTTAAGGGTGCTGCTCGGGTGCACTGAGAAGATGAACTCCATGGTTCCTCTCACGCCGTCAGGTCGGAGAGGAACCAGGGTCAGTATCTTCATGAGCTCTGGTCGTAGCCATTCTGGCGCAATTTTCGGCTTGATCAAGGCGTTCAAGACAGGCAGTAAGTTCCAAGAGCCATTCCTAGTCCCTCGTCAGAAGGTTTCGCCTGACATGGGGCCTCACTGCACCCACGTACCCGTCGATGAGCTTTTGAAATTCTTCTTGGGCGGCTGTTCGAGAAGCAGCGTCGGATGACGGATTAAACGCCCGCTTACCGGTGCTGAGAATTTCGTCGACTAATTTGGAGCGAGGGTCCTTTTCAGATGTGTTTGGTTCCATCTTTGCTGGATGCAGAGTTGAAGATACTGGATTTACACTTGCTTTAGTAATTCAGCTTCGGGAGCCAGTAAGGTGCATACAGTGCGGATCTATCTTACACTGTATGTCTCTTCCGAGTGTCACGTGTCTGCGCGTGCGCGACTACACCATACGCGTCGTGTCAGTGCTCCTTCCCCTTAGTCTGGCACCCAGCGTGACCTTGGATTTCCACCTCACTTTTACAGCTCGGTTCCTCCTCAACACCTGCTGAAAAGCCAGCTTGACGCGTCTTCAACAGCAAGAATCACCACCGGATACGCAGCTTCCACCGGAGAATAATTCGAGATACGACCTTGGAAAACAGCTGCGTGCGCCTCGTCGCAGTCGGCAAAAGGAAGTTCTCTCGCCCGACATCCACTGCAACTGGACAAGGGCTTGCCTTCGCACGACACCTCTCCATCAGTTCTCCGACTCTCATTTTCCTCGGAATGTCTATCGTAGACCTCTCAGCCAGGGCTGACACGCCGTGATGCGTCGCATCTCTACCTGAATCAGGACATTGAGCTTGCCGCGGATGGAATCATCATGGCTTATGGTTGTCTATACCAGACAATTCAGTCCAGCTGAGAGAATGAGCTTCGGAACTTAACCCTAAGTATCCTTTTGGTTCAAGTCTTGCGCCCGCAGTCGTCGAATCTGTCTTTTAAATCCGCCCTGCTCCTCGATGCTACGCCGCTGAAAAGTGGTAACGCATTCGAGGGTCGTGGTGGATGGACTGGCAGGGAACACATTCCAGTCACCGTTTGGTGCGCGAAAGGGGGTTACTATGAGTCGTATGGGTAAGAGCCTCTGGTCTGAGGCCACTCGTCAGGACCTATCCGCTGGAACCAGAGCTCTGGCCAAGAATAGGTCGCCCGGAGAAGATGGCAGACTCGGCTTGCGGGGTCGAGCTGGCAACAGGCTATTGTCTTGGGGTGTTGCTAGGGACAAGCGGAAGGAGCATTGCGTTTGCCACGAACGGTCAACATCGAAGTTTCAATCCATCTACAACCAGCCTTGGACTCCACTCGCCGGTCGTACGAAAGTACTGCGATGTTTCCAGGCCTACAAACAGAAACTTTTCGATCTGACGAATCTCATCGCCACGCCCAGCTCTCGGCACCCACTTGTTCAGTACACCACCCCGGGACTCACTCAGCAGCCAAGAAATTGCCAGCATCAGACTCAGCAGCCAGTCGGCTTCTCTCCGAGCCACACCCACGGCAGTTGCCACGGATGTGACATGTCCGCATGTGATCTGGCCAGGCGCATCAGCCTCCAGTCGTGGGTTCTATCCCACGGCACCGGGGGACGCCAAGTCCACGTTGATCCCACCGGGACCCAACAGTTGCCCGGTGATTTTGCGTCAGCAAGAAGCACCGGATGAGAGCGCGGTTTTTCATGGATGTCTTTTGTCCGCGCGGAATGCCCTCCATTGCGTTTCGAGCACGGAGAGGAAACAAAAACTAGTCCAAGGAGGTCGTGCGATTCAAACGGAGAGAGCTTCCGCCGAGTGCCTGAGAGCACACAGACTGGGATCCAATTCGCCGAACTCCGGGTGGCTGTGTAAGTGACGGTTGTGGCTCGTGAGTGGGAGACAACTCGGGCGACACACGCAAAGGCTCTGGGTGGGAGGGACGGACTGGCTGAACAGGTCTGAAGCGATACCGGGACCCATCTCGTGTTGGAGTCAAAGTTTTGTGCTTGTCCGGGATCGTGGAAGACCTGCATTGGTGGTCTATTCCCTGCCTCACCTAGGCCTCGGCACTCGTTGGACGACAAAGGGCAGGCCTATGGACGGCAGTCCTGGTTGCCGTCTCTCCAGAAATGGCGAGATTGGCAACCCCCTTAACGCCTGGGGATAAGTCTAACCAAGATCCCCCAAAAGACAATTGATTCGGGTGCTAACATGGCTCAGGGCTGGGGACGGGAAATGAGTGGAGGGGAAAGGAGCTGGGTATACCATGGGTTGGCGCTATGCGCTCCGGGGTTTGATGACTGATAAAAAGAGAAACAGGAGATTGATCTAGACCACGGCGTCCAGACCTGATTTGAGGAATTTTTGAAATATCACAGCAGAGGCTTCACGGACAATCCTTGAAACAGACGCTGTGCACCGAAGAGAAGCATTTTATCTGACCTCAGACCAAGGGGCATCCCAATTGTTCAGTGCCATTTCGATTGTGGCTCTGGGCTGCAGTAATCGCAGGTTACGCGGAGCTATTCGCTACAGCATGTGCTTATAGCCCCACCTAAGAAGCTTGATTCGCTGCCCCATTGTAGATCTGAAACCCACCAATGTGTCAATCCCGGACCACGCTCTTCCCAGCCACTTGACGTCACAATCTGCAAGCTAACCAGAACAGGCTTCATCTCACAGCCAACTCAGGGCAACTGGGAATCTGGGACAAGAGAAACAATGGGCTGCCACCTGCTATCTACGGAGTGCGGTCTACCTTAATTGAGCAGAGGTAAGCACGGTCATCACGCCTAAAGAGACTAGGTGGGAGACAACGACCGCCGATCTCAACATTCTCCCACCCATTCTTTTCTTTCTCTTCTCCGCGCCACAGCCGTTTCTTCCGAACAACCTCAGCACGGAGTAGTCGGTTTTGTTGGTTCTGGGCTGGTGCCTCGAGTTATTCTTCTGTGATTATCGTTGCCATTGTTGCATCTCTAGCTGCTGTCACCGCTCGGGACTGACATCATCGTCGCTGCCTTACCAAACGCGGTGATCACAACATCGCAAACCACACAATCCCATTCCGCCATGGCCCTGTTCCGTGCAGCTCTGCTGCCTCTGGCGCTCCTCCCAGCCGTTCTGGCTGCACCGGCACCGGTCGATCCCGCCCACCCAATGATCACACCCCCGCCGACGCGTGTGAAAAGAGAGCCTAGCTTGACGGACGACATCGACAGCTATGTCCACAGTATCCTCGGTGATGCTTCCTCCTGGGTAGCTTCTGGCATTCCTGCATTCTTCCAGGGCTTCCCAACTGGCACCGCGGTCCTCAGTTCTCTTGGTATCAGCGATGGTGACCTGGATGCAAAGCCTACCCAGATCTTGAATCTGCCGTGAGTACCAATAACCTGTCGCTGTGTGTATGTTTACAAGCTAATTCTGGGTTTGCAGGGCCTACGGAAACTGGACCGATGAAGGATGGAATGTCCGCATTCACGGCAACGTCTTCAAACAGCCCAATATTAGCCAGTCCAAGGTCGACGACTTGGCCAATGTCTTCCTTATCGATGTCGACATCAAAGACCTGCCTGCCGACCAACAAGCCCAGGCACGCAATGTCACCGAGTCCATTTTCGTCGTCCAACAAGATGACCAAAATGTCACCATGAACTTCGTCAACGACGTCTCCGTGAGACCTGGTGCCAGCGGAGGAGCCGTCAATGCTCGTGGCGGCGCACAATCGATCAACTTGCCCTATTTGACAACGGCCGAAGGTGACTTTGACGCGTTTGTCAAGTTGCGCAACACCACAGGCTCGACGGGCGGCCACATGTTGCCAGGCAATGCCACATCGTCAATCCAGACTCTCAACATGTACGCCAACGGCACGTTGACGGGCAACGCGACAGCCTATCTCGTCCCTCCCACGGGCTTCACCATCATCTCCGACATTGACGACATTCTCCGCGTCACCAAGATCTACGAGCCCAAAGAGGGCCTGCTCAACTCCTTTGCGCGCCCCTTCACCCAGTGGGAGAACATGCCCCAAATCTACGCCAACTGGTCGGCATCCATCCCCGACTTCCACTTCCACTACTTAACTACGACCCCCGAGCAGGTCACGCGCAACTACATGGAGTTCATCTACAAGACGTATCCCCTGGGCAGCTTCGACACTCGTCCTCTCAACTTCTCTGATGTCTCAGCGACGCTGTCCATCCGAAGATTCCTGCTTGACAAGATCTTCCAGACTTTCCCGCAGCGAAAGTTCGTCCTGGTAGCCGACACGACCAACTCCGATGTCATGAAGGCGTATCCCGCGTTGTACAAGGACTACCCGGGCCAGGTCCAGTGCATCTTCTTGCGAAACACCAGTGCCACCGACTCTGGCAACAAGTTCCCCTACAACACCGAGGGCTTCAAAGATATCCCTCAGAACAACTACATGTTCTTCAGAGTGCCGGATGACTTGACAAACCTGGACATTGTAAATGGGCAGTGTTATAATGCCACCATCCCGCAGAACGTCACCTTCAAGACGCAGGGCCTGCCGTTCGGGCTGGGCAATGCAGCTGGATCTCTGGCGCCACCGAGCACGTGGGCGGTGGCCGTCGTCATGTTTGGTATGAGTTTGGCTGCCTTGTTGTAGCGGTAAGAGGGAGAGGAACACAATGAACACACACGAGTAATGTTTTAAAGAGGAAAAAAGAGATTTCTGGTTTCACATCATGTTGCGGTCTAGGCCCTTTCACCGCCTGTGTATTGTCTTGAAATATAACGTTTTTGCAATATGCACCATCATGACACGAGCGCGGCATTTCTTTCCCACCCCCCCAAGTGAGATCAAGCTAGACGGGTGGCCTATAGACGTTCATCTCACCGCCAATGCCACTCGTCGGAGTTGAAGCCGGGCGATGTGAGTGTACGGTTTTGTGTCGCGGCCCGGCTGAGGCTGTGCTGCAGATTTTGGGTTTTCTGGTAGGTAAGGAAGGGGTAGGAAAGGGGAAATTGGTGGCACTTTAGTGGACGGCATTGGAACTCCGTGGGGCTTCTGGCGAGAGGGAGTTCTGACGACTTAGCATCGGGCTGTCTGTCACTGCTAGAGAGGGAGGGATCTTCTGCAGGTCAACCAACGCATATAAGGTACATGCCTATCCAGTACGTACATGTGTACAAACTCCGTAAACACACATGAGAAACCACGGCTGGAATACTCTTCGCTTTTTGCCTCCTTGCCTAAACATCTGCGCCACCGTGCTTCTAATCTAGGAGCAAAAGGAAATTCGACAAAACTCCATGT